AAGGTGAAGGTGAAGGTGAAGGTGAAGGTGAAGGTGAAGGTGAAGGTGAAGGTGAAGGTAAAGGTAAAGGGTGGCCCATTCAGCGACGAGGCTGATATCCAGAGGGGCCCTGGACTAAAAATATAGACCTGCTAGACCTGCATAGGCACGCAAGAAGTCTGAAAGTCATTACCAGTTGTTTCGTACCTTAATTTGAACTTGTCCTCTTTCCTCCATGTAAAACCCTCCAACTTCGATCAACCGTAAATGTGTTTCGTTGCTCACGTGGATACGTAAAGCTGCAACAATATTTCAATAAATGAACCAAATTCACGGCATCAACGTGCACTAGCAGCCTCCCCATGTTTGTCCCCTGCAAGATCGCGTGGGTACTTTGTACAACAAAATGGAAACCATCGTGGCAGCTATCGTGAATATGGCCTATTGAGAGCCATGTGGAATACCCTTACCCTACTTCTAAAGCGTTCCAAGGTGGTGCATGTTTCAAATTTGCACTGGTGTCACATGAAAACTGCTCTCCTTTTTAGCCATTAAGAATCGAGTAATTTTTCTAAATGTATTATTAAAAGTAAAACAACTAAGCGTGTTCTATACATGCATGAGTGCGTTCTTAGGATCAGTTACACGGTGAATACTTACGCAAGGAGGTGCTCTCCATTTTGGAAGCGATGTTGACAGCATGGCCATAAAGACAGAAGCGAGGCATGGTCACTCCAACAACCGCTGCTACCACGGGACCTATAAAAACAAGGTAAATAAGTTTTTACGTAGTCTCTTTTAATATTGCTACCACAAAGCTCCCACCCACCGTTTCCCACTGGTCCAAACACGAAAACAGCTACATTCAGAAAGTAGCTAGGAAGTCAAGGCCTGCTAAACCGCTGACCAAGATGACCGCAACCCTTACCCGTGTTGATGCCAATGCGCAGCTGCAGCTGATGGTCGGGAAGATGACTCACGCGAAATACAACCATGTGACTGAGGAGTTCCAGAGCCATGCTCGCGATCTCACTCGTGTGTTTGATCCCGTTCAACTTGGGACAACCGCTGACAACCACGTATGCATCACCGACAGTCTCCACCTGCCAAAAATAGGGAGCCGATTTTCTTAACATACGTTACAGGTCAACCAAGACAAGATAAGCTGCAAGCGTTGGAACAGATAAGCAGTTGGTGATAGTTGAAAGCTTACGTTTGCAGTGTGATTACACTGTACGTGGAAAGATTGGAAACGAAAGTCATAGAGCCCAAGAATATAACCATTGCACTTTACCTTTCACGCCTTACACTTACTCAGCAGACTTACCTTGTAAACATCAAAACGACTGATGATTTCATCAAATGATACGTATAAATCGTTTAAAAAGTCCACAATCTGTAACAAAAGGAAAATGTGCACGACATGAAATCTTTCATTTTTTAATGGCAGCGTTTTCGTCTTAGAATGAAAATGTGAAAGAGACTAATTTTCAACTCAAATTATTGATTTAAAGCTCAGCGCCAAGTTGTTTAATGCCCGATTAAGCTAACCCAGGATTAACAAGAACTTTGATTTCAGCTTCGTAACTTTTCTCTGAAGTTATCTGTTTCAATTGTTTTTCCTTTTGAATCAAATAATCTCAAACTACACAAAGCATAAGAAGTGAAAAAACATTTTTATACAAGAAAAATTAATACATAGGTTGTTATTTAATCCTGGGTTAGCGTTAACCGGCTTTAGAACAACCCGCGGCCCAGTATACCAAAGATGACATTCTTATAATAGGTACAACATTTCTTCAGGGACAGACCAGCCCCAAGGAGTGAAGAAACTGCAATGGGAACTTAAGGGTACTTTAACTTCAACCAATATTAAGTGAAGAATATTTATCAAGTTTGCGCAAAGTGCATTACAACATACCTCCAGTGGAGTACTAACTGACGCCAGCTTTGTGAATCCAACAATGTCACTAAAGAAGATGGTGACTTCTTCAAAACCCTCGGCCTGCACAGAGTTATGAGTTTTTAACTGGTCCGCTACCAAACTAAAGACAGATATATAAAGCGTTACTAAAGAGAGCTTTTAACTTGCCTGTGTCGAAAGTGATTAGCTATGCTTTGGCTTTGCATTACCACGTCTTGTGATCGGTTAAAAAAGCTCGCGCAATTTTCTTAACCAATCAGAAGAAGAACCAAAACTAATCGTCACTCGCTCACACACGTTTTCCCGCGCTTCGCACCGACTACACGCACTAGTTATTTATGATTGGCCAATGATTACGTTTTACGAGTAATCCATTGAAATAGCTTACATAACCTGGTGTCAAGGCGGCGAAATCAGGAGTCAACTTTGAAATCCTTGCTGCCTGTTCAAAACGTATATCCATTTATATCATAAAGGCTTTTGTTCTTGGGCCATCGTAGTTTAACGTGGAATAAAACACAAATAGCGGTGATAAACA